CCTAGAGTTTGCAGGTGTATGTGATACAGTGGCCAGTCAGTTTGTGACTCCTGTGGAAAATCTGGAAGCCAGAACTCCCAGTTTTGGAAACTTCTGTCAGGCTCCTTGCATAAAGTAAAGCATATGCTTGTGTCCTGAAGTCTGTGCTGCTGCTCTTTATCCATGGGTTGTAAGAAGCCTGCTCTTTGCTTTTCTTTCAGCACGAACCAGAGGCCTGGAGGTGATTCAGCTGTTTCCAGAGAACGGCAATATGGGCAAAATCTTGCCTGAATATCTGAGCAACTGGACCACAGAGAAAGTCAGAAGAGGTGAAGCTGCACTTCAGTGCTCCTCCTCTGCGAGTGGCAGAGCTGTGGTGTTTAGGCCAGTGGCTGTTGTATAGCTCTTCCTTGTGAAATACAGCTCTCTGCTTGTTTTGTCAGTGGAGTCTCAGGAGTCATGGGTCCCTTGCATGGTGGCCCAGGTGCAGAACAGAACAAGTTGCAGTTCAGGCAGCTTGGCTAGCACCGAGCTGCCATAAATCTCTGGCGTCTCAGCAGTTCCTCTGGGAAAGCCAAGGAAATATGTATGCTCATGCCAGTGAGATTTTCCCTCTGGCTGTTCCTGCACAGAATGATCCCTGCTACCATACTTGCGAGTTACTTTAACGCCCTCTGTAGTCTGGAACCAAAGTTGTCTTATGATAACTGCCTGTTCTCCTCTTCTGAGTTGCTCTAGCCTCAAATAATTTTACTTCTGACAGCCTAACGCAGTCAGCCTAGAGTCACTTTGAGAGAAGGGTTGTGTAGCCCCATGCCTTATGCGTACACCTTTGTAAGGCCAGCTGCTGTGGTGTTTAGCTGATAAAGTTGATGTGATCTGAGATACCTTTTTTCCATTTGCTCTATTAAGTGCAGAATATATTTCTGTGCATTGTTAAGTGGAGTGGGGATAGAGGGAGGAGGGATATAGTTAGGGCTGCAGATTGCAGGGCCTGATAACCCACAGGTCTGAGTTACTTTCTTTTGTTTATGGAAGCTGCCTTGTCAGACCTGTGGGGCTGGATGTGACAGAGCAATAGGTAATTGAATGTCCTTAGTGCCTGAAAACCTGTCTTGGGGAGTTCTTTTGGATGTGCCTTGTCATATGAGACATGTACATTGTCATGTAGACATGTCATGTCATCACATGAGACATTGTCATGTAAATGACAATGAGATTGTCATTTAAGTAGCTCTTTCAAATTTTTTAGCTGGGTTTCTTTCTCCTCATGCTTCACTCAAAACTGTACTGGCACGTGCAGCAAAGACAAGGTGGTCTCTCTCTTGGTTCCTAACCTGGCCCCTGCTCTGCCTGCATCTGTTTGCACCAAAGATGCCTACTTCAGTTGAAATCTGTCTGCCCTTGAGTAAGCAGTTATGTTTACTATGTTTGTTTCCAGAGGGTGTTAATGTCATGCCTAACGCTGTGGTCAAGTCCGTCTCTGTCTGTGGCAATCGGCTGATGATTAAACTGAAAGATGGCCGAAAGGTAAATTTAAAAGCAGGGAGAGGGTAAAGTTTGCAGGGGCATTGAGAGAATTAAGATAATAATTATGAATTCCCAAACAGGTGGAGACGGATCATATTGTGGCTGCAGTAGGGCTGGAGCCTAATGTGGAATTAGCAAAGTCAGCTGGGCTGGAGGTGGACTCTGACTTTGGAGGGTTCAGGGTGAATGCGGAGCTGCAGGCACGCTCCAATATCTGGGTGGTGAGTATGTGCAGAGGAGTTTTCTGTCTGCTGGTTATGCTGATGCAATCAGAATACACAGAGTTATGGGGGCTGGTATACCTCCATTAGGTGAATGGGGCAAAAAATAGCAACTAATGAGACCGATTCTAGTGCAGATCCTGCCAGCAGCCATGGAGTCTGTTCATGCACCACAGCACACTTCGTTGCTGTGGTAACGACTGTGCGAGTTTTTGAATATTTATGCTGTGTAAGAGGAGTTGGGGTAACCTAAAGATAGCACGGATTACTGTATTGCGTAAGAGTCCCTTTGGTGGGAGTCGAGACTTTGGTTCCTCTGGAAAAACATACCTGATGCTGTCTTATTTTTCTGAAGATCGGTGAAAAATGCTGAGAAATTGGGACTTGTGTGACCTGGGAAGTGAGATAAGGTGGTGGTGGTGTTTGGGGTTTGTCAGAAAAACTCAGTTCATAGTTTGTTCTCTTCCCAATGCCTCTTTTGTTTGTGCATTAATTTAAGCTTTCGTGTCAATGTTCAGTCCTCACTGAATGATGCTTTTTAAGGCAGGGGATGCTGCCTGCTTCTATGATATCAAACTAGGTAGGAGACGTGTGGAGCACCATGATCATGCCGTTGTGAGTGGAAGACTAGCTGGAGAAAACATGACAGGAGCTGCGAAGCCCTACTGGCATCAGTCCATGTTCTGGTAACGTTGATTTCTTCTTTTGGTATTTCTTATTTGGCCACATTGCAGGAGCTATGAAAAGATACACCTTGTAAAGTTTTCTGTTTCCTGAGTGTAGTGAAACTACTTCAGCAAATACCTTGTACAGCTTCCTGTTCCCAGAAGCTCAGGCAATGGGAGGGCATTTGAGCATTCACTGCTCTACCTGAAATGTTTTTCCTTCCTGCAGATCCCAGTTTCTCCCTGAATGAGTCCCATTCCGCGAAGCAAGTAGCAATAAAAAGCATCCCCTTCCTCAAAGCAGGCTAATTTACAGGTTGAACTTAGCAGCAGCTTTTCTGTTACAATTATCTAAAGTTCTGCAGCACAGTCTGTTGGTTTCAGTTGTTGCACCTTTGCTGATAAGCTGAACTGATATTTTAGTAGCAATGCATTGCTGCATCCAGGACCATACATGAAAGTTTGTTGTTTTCCAGAGAGAGGTAATGAGAAAATGGGCAGTTTTGCTGTATGTTTTTGAAGTTCTTTTTAAAACAAAACACAAAAACCCCCAAACAAACAAAAAATAACACAAAAGCTCAAGATCAGAAATTTAAATTTAGCAGGAGTTTAAATAAGGGGAAAGGAGTTTTACTTTTCTTGGAGAAATCCCCTCAAAAATAGTTATGACTTGCTGTTGTTTACCTGAACACTTGGTCTATACTGCACGGACTCTGGACCCAGAAGAGTTTCTCACTTCACTTTTAAACAAGGACACAGAAGCATCCATTTCAATTGTGTGTTTTTCTTCAGGATACTCTGACCATGACACAGATGCAGG